GTTTACTGCTGTATTAAAGTTTTAACAGTCTTTAAAATATATTCTCCGATGCTTAGTATCTCTGTATGTACAGGGTTACTTGACTGGCCTCCAAACCAATCGCTTCTTTAGACCCAGCTCTTCTCCTCAGCGTTTTGACATCTTGCAGATTGTTGCTTTTATTGCTTTTAAAGTGTCTATAGTTTTACTTGTTTGATGGTGTGTGAGCTGAGCTGGGTGTTTTGAGTTTGTTTATTTGACTGTACAGCACTTTGGTCTGGAGGTTTGAAAGTGCTGTATTGTATAAACAGTGAAGGAGGTGAAGAGGAGGAAGAGGAAGATCTCACCTGGTATCTTCAGGTTCAGATCGCAGGTGCTTCCCACGGTGGCGATGCTCGGCGCCTGACGCCTCCTCGTGATGCTCTCCTTCATCCGGCCCTCGCCGAACACCTTCACCGTGAACGGACTTCCTGTTGGGACACGAACACTCGATGTTAACTCTGCTTTATTCTGCAGCCACACACAGACTTCCACATAAGATACCCAAAAGGCAAGAAACAAACAAGCAGCTAATTCTAAACATATAAATACAAACGTGAAATGCCTTCATGTGTCCATGCAGCACACAACGTAAACAAATCTTTCCGTAAAAAAGATGGGGTAATGTCACTTTAAAGTAATAAAACGAATTACTAAAACCATAGCGCAAATAAAACATGTTTGCAGAAACGTACCAGTTGCATCACATCTTTCATGCAGATCACAACCTTATAACACATGAAAGGGGAATCTTTGCAAAAACGTACAGATATAAGTTAACCTTTAAAAACAACAACACAATGTCGGCTTTGAAAGATGCTGCCAACCACCATCATGATCTGAACCACGTACGGTTCATTTATTATCTTTACAGTACGTATGTATTCCATGGGTTCCTACCTGGCACGTGTTGGTCGGCGAACTTGATGTTGATGATGTAGTTCCCGGGCTCGGTGGGACAGTAGGTGACTTTACACGTCCCGTCCTCCACGTCCTCACAGTTAATGTCCACTTTACTGGGACCCTCGATGGAGAGACCCAGACCCCCGTAACCTGGGAGAAAGAGAGGATATCAATTGGGGAAATATTTTCCTAGGCCCATAACTTTGACCGAGTTTATCAGTCTGCCCTCGCCCTGGAGCTGCTCTCAGAGTCTCTCTGCTCCTGCCTGTTGGTTCTTTATCTTGTTATGCAGCATGTTGATTCTTCTCTCACAGCTCAATACATGGGTCTGGGAGATCTTCAGAAACACAGCACATGTGTTGTGAATTCTCCGGACGTTAACTCTAAATGAACCCTCAGTGTTTCCATCAGAGTTCCTGCTCTCCCTGTGTCTCTCTGAGTCTCCATTGATCCAGAAGTTTCCATCACAGTACCTGCGTTCCTGGTGTCCACGATGAACTCGGCCATCTCGAAGGTGTGACCCTCCATCAGCCCCTCCCCGAACACTTTCACTTTGCTGGCGTCTCCGATCTCCGACTGTCCGACCATGATCTTGAAGGGACTGTTGGTCACATGCTTCCCATTCTTCTTCACGCTCACCACGTGCTCGCCCACTTCCTTCGGCGTGAACGAGATCCCTGCGGAGGTGGATGGATCGATAAAGAAAACAACGTTAGTGTTGGTGACTCCCCCGTTACTTTGGTGTTCCCAGTCGGTTTTAACTGCTCTTAAAACAAACATGAATCATTACCAAATGTTTAAAAAGCTGCGAACAGTCTCAGACTACTGGTTTTCATGAAACAGTGCAGTAAATATACAAAGAAGACACACTCAAGATGTATTCAAGAGTAAAAATACATCGGATGAACATAATCTAGAGTTACCCGTTCATTTCCTATGGCAGTCATTTCAGACTTGGAACACTGTAGGCGTTACAAAGTTGTCTAAACCTCAAAATTCAATGAAATAAATCAGAAATTCCACATGTTCAGATGCCTGCTGTGGAGGATAGGAGGAGGCCTTGAGGAAGCAAGAGTAAAACAAAATAAATATATAGATAGCATTCATTGTGACAACGTTAGCTTAATGTGCTGAAAACTAGGTAAGTGTAGAGTTTACCAAAGTGTGTACGCTCCAGCACCCATTAGGCCCTATCATGTGTTTATTAGATCATTGCCACTTGTTTACCCACCAATTTGAGTTTGTCAATAAAACAACTTTCATCCAAGTACATCTGGTTTTGTGTTGCCTCCTTTTCCCCAAGGAGCTAGGATGTAGCATGTAGCCCCAACCGTCTCTCAGTTTGAACATGTAGATCAAATCTACATTATATGATCATGTGTTGTAAGCCATGCTCGTGAGTTTCATCCTTTAGTTTATTTAAAGAGACCTTTGAATGAGCACATTAGAACAGGGTCTTGCAACATGTGGTTGTAAAGGTCCAAAGGTATAGTGCCGTGTAAACTAAAAAGAAGTGTATCCAAGCTGTGGGATTCTGTCATTCTTTAGACAGACTCATCTACTCTTGGAGGACTTGGCTCTTATGCTGTTGAACAACAATATAATAAGTGTGTCTGTGTTTCTATTTAGTTATATCTTGTTACGTCTTGAGTGTCTAAGGTTGAGGATCCACTGACCAATGTGTCTGTTGGGAAGCCTCTTCAGGACGCACGGCTCTTCGTGTCCGGACGGCGCTGTGATACTCGCCGTCAGACTGCTGAGGTCGGTCTCCGTGATCTTCAGAGAAACGTCTGACGCCGTGCCCACGTTCAGCTGAGACATCCTCATGGAGTCATCGCCTGGAGAGAACAGGAAACAGGAAACACATCTAAAACCTTGCATGGAGAATGTACAGTTAGATAAATCAGTGTGTTTCCGTACCGGTGATCTTGGCGGTGAAGGGGCTGCCGGGGATGTGTTTGTCGTCAAACTTCACGATGATGTTGTATTCTCCGGGCATGGTGGGGAGGTAGGACACGGTGCAGGTGCCGTCCTTATTGTCCTTACAGCTGATCTCTGCTTTGGACGGACCCTCCACCGCCAGAGACAGACCTCCTGCGGGGACACGCACCAGGGTTAGGGCTCTATCTGCACATAATACTCTATACAGTGGCGTAACAAGGTTGTGATTGGCCCCGGTGCAAATATTGTTTTGGGCCCCCCCCCTCATTGACCCAAACATAAGCGCACGCTGATGCGCTCACACAAGCACGGACATACAACCACTCAGAAGCGCCACATGTAGGCCATCAACAACAGCCTGCCCTGGCCTCAGACCACCACCGCCTGACAACGACACAGCGAACTAAGAAGTGGATTACACCTGTGTCCTTGATGCTTGTCTCTGGGGAATGGGCCGGT